TTTAAAGAAAGGAGGAATAATATTGTATTTGGCATATTCTGTACATTTAAAAACATTTCACAGAAGTGAAAGTATGGATAAATATTATTCTTTTTGGAAGAGGAGAACAGATTTTTCTTGAAAACTTTCAGTTGAATTTTGCAAGCAATAGCTTCAGGAGTTCCTATATAGAGACCATTTTTTGCCTGTCTCAATGATTTCCCAGTATTAAATATTTCCGTATTGAATATTCACATATACATTGTCTACATCTACTGATAGGGGGATGAAACCAACCCAGCTGTTTTCATTTATGTATGTGCAGTTTTATATTTCTGTTCTCCTTTTTTTAGCCTTTAGCAGCAATTCTGAACCCAAAAGCATCCCAGCTGCAGAAGAGGTGACTCTGTACTCAGATGCCCATGGTGCTGCCATGCCCAGTGTGGCAGCGGGGACACCTGGGTCCCCCCAAAACAGCCACACAACTGGGGTGACCAAGGGCTCTGCCACCAGCACCGACCCCATCAGCTCTCTGGGGGTGACCTTCTCCTCGGCGGCCGGGACACACCATCCTAATGGCTCGTGGGAAGCCACGGATCTCCCAGCACCTCCTGGGGAGCCTTTGCTCACAGCCTCCCTCTTTGCCTCCGAGAGTACTTTCAGAGGTAAATTTCTTAGTCTGAAAGTTGGCTGGTTTGGGATTGGACAGGATTTTGCATCCCAGCACTGTTTTTCTTTAGATGTTGCCATTGGTCCCTATTGGGTACATGGGTGTTTGCATGACTGCATCAGGCTGGCAGCAGGGCTGGGGGAAGGGTGGGAGTGGATCTCAGCTTTTGGGTGAAAAAGTGAAAAACACTTCGTGTCCTCGTTGCTAATGCAATTCCCATGCTGGGAAAAGCAGCCATTGGTTAGAAATACATGCACGCACTTTTTCCCTGCCAGCGACACTTTTGCTGGGGATTTGCAGCCGTCGACTGGTGCTGCATCTGCCATGTGGGCTGGGCTGTAAGAGAGGCGGCCCATGGCCACAACATTGACTTGCCCCGTGCCCTTGGAGTGATGTGAAGTGATCTCTGCCCCACTGTTTGCCATTAATTCACAAATAAACCCATCGCTTTGCGAGTCATAGTGCAGCTCCTGTTCCTGGTGAGCTGGCCAAATATCGGCATCCCCAGTGCCGCGGATTGGCAGAGCCCTGGGGCAGCATGTCTGCTAAACATGGGGTACATCAGGATGGGTTGAACACCAGGCTGGGGTTCCGGGGTGTTTCTGGGCATCTCATGGGTGAGGCTGTGCCCCACGTGGCACTGGGTGCCTGTGCCATCACCCTGGCACTGAGACGGCAGCTTGCCTGTCTGGACTGTCACTGGAAAACCTAACCCAGGCTTTTTTTAGCTCATCCCCTAAGTTTGCTTTGAAGTTAGAGGTCTATATTCCTGACTTGAACAGGCTTGAAGGCAGCTTAAATGCATAAATTGGGTATTGCGCACAGCCTGCAGTTAAAAAACGTAGCTTGGCTTTGAGATTTTCATGAGTTTTTGTAAGCCGCATGTTCCTGAATGCAAGGGATTCACCTCTTACCAGAGCAGCGCCTTCTCCATCTTGAGAACTCGGTCTATTCAATATCTCAACAGTGTACAATCAGGCTGTACAAACAATCCCTGAAATTTATAGCTCTATATGCATAAATCAAACCTGGTTTTATTGTGTTTTAGGTGTCAGAAGCAGCCACCGACCAGTTAACAGCTCAACAACAGGGAAAAACCCCACTGCTTCCTTTCCCACCAGTGCTTACATTTCAGCCACGGCCATTGGCAGCAATGGGAGAACCCCGAGGTCTGCCACGGGCAGCAGCCGACGGGCAGCAGAAATCTCCACGTCGAGTAGCGCCATGTATGGGACCTTGGGCACGATCCGATCCTCGTCTGTGTCTTCTATGGGAGAGACCTATGGAGTTCGTGGGTCCAGAGACACCACAGATTTCACCGAGCGGGTGGCAGACCCTTCACTAACACGCTCTCACTCTCCTTCAGAAAGTGCTTCCCCAGGTGAGGTCAAGTTAGAAGTGAAACATCATATTTCTTGTAAGCAAAGGGAGCCCTGTTACAGTATGTTACACTTGCGTGACTTTTCTGCTGTTAAAAGACGTGATAGCTATGTAGAATATATTGTTTGGAAGGATGCAGTGTGATTTTGTGTCAGAAATATTTCAGCTCTTGCTTGACCAAAAAATGTGGTTTGGGTTTCTTACAGAAAGGGCTCATGTGTGGAAAGTTTTGTAATGCCAATAAAAATAATTAACTTTCAAATCGCGATTCCTTTTTTACTATCTCCAATTGCTATCTTCTTTTTATAGGAAAGAAAACTAAGCAAGGGCCTTGCATGTCCCTTCAGTTCAATTTCTCCCCTCTGCCCTACCCCTTGGACCATGCTGCTTTCCACAAATCAAACCAACTCAACACATTGAAGGCAACTTTGAATGCGATCTCTAAGGTCCTTCATGCCGCTGTAGGTCCTAGACCCTGCTGCAGTGCGGAAGGGGTCTGATTCCCCTGACCCCATTTCTTCAGACTTCTTCTCTAAGACCTTCACACTGCTCAGCATTGTGCCTTTTCTACACTGGTTTCCAGGCTTTTCTGGGTTGTTAGGGTATTTGTTTGTTCTAGCAGCATGGAGTGCACTCAGGCACATAATGGTGAAATCAAGTGCACGGCATAGCAGTTCAACAGTTTTTTATGCAATAGCAGTTTGCTTGGCATCAAACCATCTTTTTTAGGAGAAAAATTTCTGTAGGAAGGATTCACATCTTTGGAAATTTCCTATTTTCTCTGGATTGACATCTCATATTTTCTACTTGTGCATGTACTTTCTGCCTGTGGGTGTTACTGGAAGAAAGCTCAGCTGTTTATTTATAGTTTCACATGTGTAAAAACATAATTTTTTTTCTTTATCACATCTTAGCCGCTGGAAACAGCCACGTGTCATTCAGCATCCTGTCAAGAGAGAGAAGAACTGACTTCCCTACCACCAGCACCTCTGTTTCCACAACAGCCACCAAGAGTGGTGGGAGGATGTTAAGGTCTCTGCCAGCCAGCACCAGGCTGGCCCAAACAACAGAGATTTCCACCACTGGTACTGAAATCACCAGCTCTTCAGACTGGACCCAGTCCTCTGGAGTGTCTTTGGGAGCCCAGAGGAATGGTGGCAGGGGTGCCACAGCGCTGTCCATGGACCCGTTGCTCACGGGGTCAGCATCTGCTTCGGAAAGTGCTTCTCCAGGTGAGCTCTGAGCATCCCCATGGGGCTTCGTTCTGTGGAACATGAACATCTGCTCTGTGTGGAGTGAGGGTGTGCAAGATGCTGGACAATGGCAATGGGCATTATGGAGGAAAATTTAATGCATTAGCTGTAATTTTGCATTTAGTCACCAGAAAAACTCAGCCTTACTGTACGAGGAGTCTGGCCCTGAACTTTGGTGTGTTTTATGAGAAAGCACAATTTCCAGACTGCCCTGTTGGCTGTGTTTACACAAGCAGGAGGCAACACCAGTTGTTCCTGACTGCTGCCCTGGGACAGCCCTGCCGAGCTTTGTTTCGAGTGTCAGGGAGTTAGGTGCTGCTGTAACCCCACCTTGCTTGTGGCAGGCACTGTGGTGCCGGGGCTGGAGAGCTGCGCCCGGAGCAGTGCCGAAGGGACGCTAACCCAACAGCGCTCCTGCGACTTGTTCCTAGTGCCCTCTTCAGGGTGTCCTCCTGTCAGCAGCACTTCCTTGCACAGGAAAGGGTTGTGTCTTCACAGTTTTCTCCAAGTTTAGATCTTCTGCGATGTTATATCTGTGCTGCCAGCCTAAGGGTGGTGATGGAAGAGAGTGCACCCACCTGTTATAGCTTAGTGTGCATAAATCCATTTTGCTTTATCCTTTCTCAGCAGAAGGGACCTTGGCTACGGGAGGACGCCTGCCCGATGCTCTTCTCACCAGTACGCCCAGCTCAGTGATGGCCACCAGCGGTGGGGAGAGGACCACGGTGCCCGTGTCAGACACCCGTGTGGGATCCCACATGGCAGAGAGCTCCGCTCCTGCCTCACCCCACACCGGGTCCTTGGACGTGGTCCTTCTGCCGTCCTCATCGGCAGCAGAGCCCAGGACACAGAGTGATGTTTCACAGAGCAGTGCTGGACCCCAGGAGCTTGTGACAAAGTCACTGCCTTCATTTCCTCCCAGCGACTCAGTGCCTTCGCCTTCACCAAGTGCTTCAGGTGGGACTCGTGGTTTCTGAGTTTGCCATGGAGGGCATCCCTCCTCCTTGCCCAGCTGCTGAGCTCTGCCTTCCTTTTTCTAGCTTTAAACTAGATTTGCCTTTTTAGCACACCTGGTTTGTAGCAGAGGGCATCTGAGTACAGCTTGGCTGGTAAGTTATTCACCTCACGGCACTTGGGGCAGCACTTCTTGTGTCAGGAACTAGATGGCCAGGCAGCTCTTCAGGACAGAGCATGGCATGGGATGTGGTGAGGGATCGGTAGAACTTTTGCCCTTCCTTGTATCCCAGTTATCGTGTATTTTGGCCTCGGCTCTGCTTCCAGGTTCCCACCAGAGCTGGTTTGAAACCATCTGGTACTCCCAACGGAATTTTCTGTAGGACATCCAACACCAGGTCCTACCTCCCTGACACTGTTCTCCTTCCGAAACACTGTGCATGCCAGTCTGTTTTTTATTTTTCGGATGTAAAGGGGAAAAGTACAGATCACTTAGGAACCCCACTTAGGAAATAAGTGATGTTGGTCACCAAGCACCACCTCTGCTGTGGGAATTTAAATATTCAGGTTTTAGTCCCTGTAGAAGCCTCAAAGGTATTGTTAATGTATTATATATATATTTATATATATGTATGTATATTCTCTAATTTGCAGTTCCAGAGAGAGGAAACAGAGTTTCTGGTGCACCTACTGAGACCACGTATATCTTGACCGCACTCTCCAGCCATGAGGAGGGAACATCTCACTCTGCTGCTAACCCTGGCATGTGGAGCACGGCGGCAGCAAGCCCCACATCTCACCCAGACACGGCCGGGGAGCCCCGCACCAGCCCCTTCCCATCCTCCACATCCTGGCCTGGAGCAGGACACATCTCGTCCAGCCGTGCGGGGTACCCAGAGCCCGAGGTCACCTTTTCATCCAGGGTCTCCACCTACTTCTCAGCTGCCGATGAACCTTCCAGTGAGTTTTTCTGAACTCTGGGATGGTGTTTGAATTAGGAAAAAACACACTCCCTCTCCCTCTGCCTCTTCTATGGGGTTGATATGGCCACCAACACTGTCATAGCTGATGTGGGTATCCTGGGCAGGATTTATAAGTCATGGTGATTCTGCTCCTTGGTGTTGTATATCTGCAGCTGTGGATGCTTAACAAAAAAGCCTCAGAAATGAGATATATAGCTTCTTGCTGTAAGAGACGTCTACTACCTGCCTGGCTTGGAGTAATAATTATAAATAGCACAAATATGCCATTATGACTCTAACAGTACCGACTGTCCCTCTGTATTTGGAGTCCTGTTTCTTTGGACTAGGCTTTGTGTATTAAATCTATATTTAGGGTGATAGCTTTATCAGGCCTACTTAATCTGTGTTTATTATCTGTGCAATTTTATTAATCTGCATTTCCAAACAGAATTATTGTAGAACTCACAAGTGCTCTCTGCTCTGAGATGATAAAATCAGATGCCTGCTTTTCAATCTTATTCCAGCTGTGGACAGCATCCGTCGCTCCCTAAGCAGCTCAAGTGCCGAGGAGAGGATGTCCAGCCCCATCACTGGTCCTGTGTACAGTTCATCCACGTCTGCTGGTGGTGGAGAGAGGACGCTGCACTCGGTGACGGGCAGTGGGCTGGCTGGCCGCACGGAAAGCTCCACTTCCTATTCCTCCAGCTCTCCAGGACCGGTTGAGCCGGTGTTGGTGGAGCAGAGCGGGACAGCCAATGCCTCCACCAGCAGTGGGGGCTTCACGGGCTTTGCAACAGAGACACTCTTCGCACGTTCTTCCAAGATACCCACTTCTTCTTTCCAAAACGATCTCACAAGTAAGTTAGTGTCTCCTGGCATATGTTTTCTGGGGGGGAAAGTTCCCATCGTCCTGCATTTATCTATGTTGCATACAAAGTTCTAATTCATTAGTACGTGCAGTGCCACCTGCGAGTGCACTCAGAGGGTTGTTTTCATCAAAGGACTCAAAGCCAAACCCCACCTGGCTGGGGAATTGTTCCAGCAGTGAAGTCATGAACCCAAGCAGGGAAACTCTCCTGTTTACATGGCTGCACTATTTTTTTGCAGCCTGCCTGCTTCTTTTGGGTGATGCTTTCAGAAGTGTTTCATGATGACCTAAGTCAACTGTAGAATTAAACCAAATTTTCCATTTTTTATTTTTAGAGATTGCTGAATTTAGCTGTACACCCTGTAATTTGTGTTATAAGATTGACCGCACCTTTTATACTAAATAAAATAATTTTTTTTTCAGAGTGATGTGCTACTTATTTGGGATTTCCTGGCTGCAAAGTTTTCAATCAATGAGTTCATCATGATAAGCTGTAAATAATTTAATCCTGCAGCAGCATGAAGTTCACTGTGTCTAAAGCCAAACTGACTGAAGAAGATGGATATTCTCTAGTTGGGAATGGAGGATAAGAGGGAGATGATATGAGTTTTATAAATTATGAGTGATAAGAGAACAGATGGGTTTTCCTGCTTAGCTTGTCACAAAATATCAAGAGAATGCTGAGTGCTCAATCGCATTAGAAGAGAGATACTGAAAGAATAGTGTTTTAGAAACCTACATGTTTCATGGGAGCCTTGGGTTCTGTCTGAGTTCACCATTTTAGAATGAATTAAGAGGTGCAGAAGACTCCTAATTTGATAGTCAAGCTTGCATAGTGCTCTAAATTGTTAGAAGAGCATGGGCCAGCTCATACACAAGAACGTATTATGTATTTTGCAAGTTATTTTAATATGGCATCAAAATATTTTCATATTACTGTGTTTCTAATATATTTTTCCTTTTATTCCAGGCTTTTCAAGTAGCCACCAGCCAGTCAGTAGCATTGATGCTGAGAAAAGGACCTCAGTTTCTCATACGGATGGCACATACATTTCAACCACATATACCAGAGGAGGAGAAAGGACCCTCCTGTCTATCATCTCAAATAGCAGCACCTCTGCTGACTCCTCAGAAAGTTCCACCTTTTTTTCTGAAATTTCCAACCCTTCTGATTCATTGAAGTCTTCTGTGACGCAGGACAAAAGGAGCAACATGTCCAGCGATGGCAGTTTTGTTGAACCATCTACAGAGCCATTGCTGGTACACTCTTCCAAACTATTGACTTCTGCTTCTGCAGGCAGCGTGCAAAATACAACTCCTTTCAACACTGACTCTGAGTTGTTGACCACTGGCAGAACATCTTTATCTTCGTCAACATTTCCAGAATCTTCCTCAGTGCCATCGTTGCTTCACTCACTGTCATCAACACCACCACCAACTTATTTGTTTACATCATCAGAGTCATCTGAGCCACTCTCATCCTCTGTGATGGCATCTTCACTCCCTCCGCAGGCTGTGTTGTCCTCCTTTCCCACTTCGTCATTGCTTTCCACATCCTATTCATTAGCACCTCTTTTGCCTCTGTTTTCATCGCCATCATCCATCTCACAGTCCAATGACAGTGATCAAGCAAGCACCTCTGTAGCTACGACGGTGGTCAGGCGGGTGCCCTCCACAGCTGCTGTGGCCAGGAGCTCGCCCAGAGGGACCAACAAGCACAATGTCATGTACCAGCCCCAGAGCAGCACCACCTTCATCTCCACTGGGTCTCCTCTCCCCACAGCGCCCATGGAGCAGCTTGGTGGACGCATCATTTCCGTGTCTGCTCCTGTGACGGTAACGGAGACTGCCTCGCTGAGACCCACCACCTCCCAGCGAGGCAGCTTCGGGAAGGCAACACCACTGCCCACCACGGCTGGTGATGCCCCACAGGCTGGGCCCACAGATGCACCCCTTAGTCGGTCACCAAGTGCAACAAACCACAGTGTCATTGTCCCTGTGGTGGCACTGACCACGGTGAAACCTCCTGTGCTGACAACACCAGCCAGTCAGTGGCCAAACCCAGGTGATGCTAGAACAACAAAACCCTACACGGCTCAAACGCCCGCTGCCACTAAGCACGTGTATACCACTGGTGAAAGCACCGAAGCTGTGGATCCCACCACTCCAAGGCCTGGCAAAGTCACTGAGGAAAACATCCCTGTTACGAGTCCTTCTGAAGCCCCTCCAGCCAGCAAGACCACTGTGAGCATTGCAACTACTATGGCTGCTACCAAACCAACCACTGTTCCTCTGTCAAGTAGCACAACCGGGCTGAGGACATCGTCTCCAGAAACAGGTAACGTGTCTAATGGTGCTCATCAGTGGTGGGGCCAGAGACAAGGGCGCCAGGAACGGCTGGTTCCCCCTTTAAGGGTCTTCAAAGGGTTATGTATGTGTGACAAGTCTGTTGTCAGCAGGCTTTGAGGATAAGAACTCAGTCTCCATGTTGGTATTTTTAAGCTAAGGGTTTAGCAATCAAGCTGAACTGCTGCAACAGGGGGGGTATTTTAGTGAATATTTTGGACAGAAATGTTAAGCTGAAATTTGAGAATTCCAAGAGAATAAAGCTGACTGGCCTTCTAGGTAAGCACAAGATGCACTTTATATTTGTTCATCGGTCAACTGTTGATCGATAATGATCAGTATCTAGCTTATGAGTGAGAAAAGGCAGTTGGCCAGCACTAGGTATTTGTGGTGGAACTTCTGTTATTATGACCTATGGTCATTTTCTTCCCACCTCACTAAATAATCCCCTACTCAAGGGCTTGTTGCTTCTCCTGGTAGGCTACGTACCATAGTCTTGCTGAGTGTGTTGTTACAGTCATCTATTACGGCTGCCAGACTCCTTATCTTCTCAAGTAAATACATTGACCAGAGTTTCATATGAATGGAAATCGATTGTGCGTTTGAAGTTCAGGAGCCTGGGCCTCATGCCAATGTAGGATATTGTGTGGGCTAACTGTATTAATCTCAGTGAAATACTGGCAATAGTATATATTGCATCTAATAATTAAGTATTTAAAGGTTATTTCTCAGGCTGATTGGTTTTACTTATAGCTATGGTTTCATGCAAAAAAACCTCATCGATGGGGAATATTTTTTTTAATGGAAAATTAAGGTAAGGTATCCTTTGTACCAACTGATTCAAACTTTTGCCAAGTTACTCTCCTTTAACTATTGAGTTTTGCCATTTGCCAGAATGCAAAAGATCCTTCTGCTGCCTTGGCCATGGTGCTTTGTAGGTGACTACTCACTGCTGCAAGATAAGAAGCTGCCTTGGTCCCCACTGTACAAAGCACAAACTGAAGGACGGCAAAGTGAAGGCCAACGTTTTAAATGTTTTGCTCAGCAGCAGCCACAAAATAGGTACAAGTGGTGTGTAAGCTGTCCTGCTGGTCTTGTAGGGTCTTGTTGCCGACAAGTCCACAGTCCTGCCTACAGTCTGCCCTTGCACTCACGTGTGATGCGTGTTTGTGCTCCTGTGAGCCATTTGCACAGCAAGAGGAGCATTTTTGACCAGGATATGTTTTTTTTGCAAAGGGAAGTATTGGCTACCTTCTCCAGAATTTGCAGTTTGAGTTGGCTAATCTAGCATCTGGTGTTTTTTTTCTGCTTTTGTAGATGTGGATAAATGTCTTTCCAACCCTTGTCCTGCGCTGGCCACCTGCAACAGCGCCCGTGGCTCCTATATCTGTCAGTGTCCTCTGGGATATGAGCTGGAAAAAGGAAAGTGCAATCTAGGTAAGAGAACAAAAGTGAAAAACCAGGGGAGAAAGAAATGGAAATAATTATCTCTAATCTTCTAAAATAAATTAACCTAGGCTCAGACTAGTTTAGGAGCTTAACGTTCCTCCCAACCATGACTTTTAACAAGAGCCTCTTGGTGTTTATACAAGTGCAGTGTCATGTTGGGGTGCCTGGGGAGCAGGCGCAGTGATAGCTGAGGGTTTCTTAAAAACACAGCAACGGAGTGGTGGGCTCAGACTTGTTAGTAAGGACAGATGTGCCCCTTCTGTTCCTAATGTGTTTTACAACCCCCAAAAAGCGTTCAGCAGTTTATCATAGCTCCTAGCCCTGCAAAACCCTGCAATGGCACTTGGCTTGGAAGCAATGACTGGGGCTATTGTGTAACTGGCTTCAGTGGGATCGGCCATGTGCGGAAAATTAAGCAGCCGTGAAAGTCTTTGTAAGATCAAGGTCTTGTTTCATACCTTTAGCATTTTTCATGCAGCAGTTATTAGTTGTGACTCAGGTTCTGACCCCTCCATTCTATGAGAGGACTCTCAGTCTCAAGGATTTACAATGTCCCATTGTGAAGGGGAATTTGTTTTGCTGGAGTTTCTTCTGACCCTTAATCAGCGAGGATTAGAGGCATGGAAATTTTGCTAAGGAAACATGAGTGAGGTGTCCCTGAAGGGTGTTTTGAAGCACTTCTTCGAGTTGGAATGTGTCAGCTTCTAATTGTTTTGATTATGCCTTGAACTGGGATATGAGCAGACTATGTAAATACTGTGAAGGTGATTCTCATGGTTTTTTTTTAACCTGGAGTTGTTACGTTACAGCTGTCTGATATAAAATTTGTGGTGAAGATAGGGTCTGTGGATGGGAAAAAAATGGGAAAGAATGGGAGCCTTTATAACATTATCTGCAACTGTATTTGTTTTTCTGGTGGAACATAAAACTGGAGCTCTGAGTTCTCATTTCCACTGAGTATCTCATGACACTTAATACAAGATTTAGGGATATTATCTCTCCAAGTCTGGACAACTCGGATTATTACATTCTGCTGCTATGAATCAAATATGAATCTAAGCATAGAAAAATGCATCTTTTGGACCTCTTTTCAAATGTCATTGCTCATTCTGTCCAACGATTTGAAAAATGAAAATGTCCTTTCTACAGTGCTTTATTTTGACTTGCTGATTTGCTTTCCTTCCATTGAAGGGAGGGGTAAGAGATTTAACATGTTTACCCCTAATTATTATAAATAGCTTTGGTACCTGAAACTGTCTTGTTACTAAATGTACCCAGCTCTCTCTGTGTTCAGGGGTCCTTCTCAATTAGTCTGTGTTTCCATAAGGAATATATGAATGCTGTGGTGAAATGCTGTCTGTTCAGCAGCATCAAGCTCTGGAATTCGACTGGGGCTGTGGGAACATCGCAACAACCCTTGGGAAAAATCCTAAGGCTGGGTCTTTGCTTTACTAGGGCAGTGACTCTCAGAATTCAGTTTTCTGTCCGCAGCCTGAAGGGGTTTTCCGTGCAGTCTCTCATGTAAAGAGGGTGAAACTGCAGCTACACATGGCACAGAGACATGTGTTCCACCTAACTTGTCTTATTCTCCTTTTTAGTAAGAATATTTATCGGCCAGGTGCCCCTGAAACTTAATATTACCCATGGGAAGTACGCAGAGCTCCCCCACGTTGAAGATGAAATCCTGGCGATGGTGAGTGTCATTGCTGGGACTTTGGCGATGCTGATGGGACAGGTCCCCTTTGCTCCTCTCATGGTTGTCATGAGAAGCCACAAGACTCTGTAGTGTGGATTTAGCCTTTTTAATCATTGAACCATCCTGATCTGCTGTCAAGCCAGCATTGGAGAGGTCTGGCTCTTACAGGGCTTAAGACAGGACATCTGCCCAGAAAATCCTGCAGCCCCTTTGTGAAGTGGTGATGCTGGGGTCACACTTTTGTAGCCTCCATCCTTTCCTAGTGTCTTCTGGCTGCACTGCCTTTTCCCAGCCTTGGTGAAAGGCTGTTAGTGCTCTTCCAAGCTCAAACATTAAAACAGTAACTCTCTGGGTTTCATTGTTCGTCAGTAGATCTCGCAGGTGCTGGCCAGTGGGGTGGGTTGGGCTGCAGCTGGTGCTACCTTGCTCTTAGTCAGACTCTGTGAGATGAAGCACAGCAGCAACACCCAACCAAGCATACCTTCCTCTTGGTGAAGTTTCCCAGACATGCTATTGCAACCACATGGCCCTTGGTCCGTTCGGAGCAAGCCCTGGGTCAGCTCCCACATGCTGTGCCTTCTGTTGCTCCAAAAAGACCCCTGGGTCTCTCTGTGCATTATTTAGGCAGATCATTGCAGAGTTTGTCCTGTTAGCAGTTTCTGGGCTGGCTGCTGTTCATCCCAACTCTTTTTGGAGTAGTTGGTTTGCAGATGCCACCGAAGGAGGGGGTAGCCGGGGTGAGTCGTCACTGTGCAGCCAGCCTGGCTTGTGCTGGGGAGTGAGCACAAACAACCACATGGATCTGGGGAGAGGGAGGCTCCTTGGAAGATGCACAGTCTCCAAGGGTGCCACTTTGAGCTTGACTTCATGCCCCGCTGACTTCTGGCTAGTTCTCTACCTTGGCAGTCACTGCACAGTGGAGTCCCAGGCAGATGCTGTTGCCAAAACCCCCGGGTGTTCGTTCCTCTCCCAGGCTGTGCGATGGTTACTTCAGCTGTCCCTTGCTGGCAACAGGACAGTGCATCTTTCTTATCGAGCAGATGAGCCCCTTGGCCTCAGCAGGCAGCTCTGGTGAGCACAGGGGATGGTGTTGGTGACCCAGGAGGGCTGTCCCATGTCACATCCCACTGGGCTGCCTCCGCATCCCACTGGCCAGCCTCCCTCCATCTACCTTTGGGGCACTAACAGCTGCTCTCTCCTTCCTTGCAGCTGGATGCGTCGCTGTCAGGCTTGCCGGGGTACCACCACTCTGTGGTTAAGGTGACCAGGTAAGGCGAAGGCTACCAGGGGAAGAGTGAGAAACGAGTGTTCGGGATGTCCAATTTGAGATCCACATTCTCCAATCTGAGTTGGTGCTGGGCTTGATGCCATCCAGCCCAGCAGTAGCGCAGGGCACGGGGGATGCCTGACCACCGTGCCGGGCTCTCCCGGTCCCCTCCTCCAGGATTGAGTGTCTTGGGGACGGGCTTGTGAGCTGCCCAGGGGCGATTTGTGGATGCTTTCAAAGTGAGCTACCAGCACCCCTTCCAGCCCCAATTTTACCTTTCTGTGTGTTAAGTTTGTCCTGTTTTTAATGTCTGTTACAATGCATGGCTGTTTCAGTATGTATGCAATAACGTGTCTGTGAGAAGCATCGCTTGTGTTAAGAAGTGTCCTATGTATAATGTGTGCTAATGATGACATCAGACTGACCGATGGTACTCAGGGCTGTTTTGTTTTGTTTTCTGTTAGGGAGGCAAATTTTGTGCATGTTTCAGTGCAATCCACGTTCTCTTTAGCATCCAACGTGACTTTCTATGACGTTATCGGCAGCGTGAAAAGCTACATTCGAGCTTGCAAATCCCCCACCGAAGCCTGCCAGTTCATCTCCAGCCTGAAACCGCTCCACAGAGGTAAATAGCATCAGGAGGAACCGTGATGGGAAGGGGAATAGATGTTTTATTTGATTCCTTTTATAACAGAGGGAGAAACATTTTGGTGTTTGGAAAAAAACCCTCTGAATCTTTTTTATCTTATTTAAATGGGAGTCATCTCAAGAGCCCCGCAGTACAGAAAGATGCAGATATCGAGTCTTATCTTCCCCACATGTGTGAGAAATCTGCCTCTGTGACAAAATCACGCAGCACTGGATTTGAGGCATTGTATGACAGCCTTTCATCTCCAGGATGTGACACTGGGTACTGGAAAGATCAAAAAACCATAAGTCTTATTCCACCTGCATGGCCAGGAGCTCGGCAAATGGTATGAAAGCCAAGAGACAAAACCCCCAGTCAAGTTGATTAGAGCTGCTGGAGGCTGCTCCACTCTCCTGCCTGCCAGATTTTGTTGCTGCAGGATGTAAAAAAAGTTCACAATTAAGAGCTTTCAATTTCTGGACCGAATCCTCTACCTGCCAAAGGGGAATGTGGGTGCGGCACAGAGAGACCTGCAGAAGCACATCAGTGCTGAGCAGGACCCTCTCCAGGTGGACCCATCGGTGCTGGTGGCCCTGTGCCCTGCACCTCCCAGTCCTCACTTTCCGAGGGAGTGACAGAGGAGACTGAGCCGTGAGAGGTACCAGCAGGATGGAGGGAGGGAGCGCCCTTGAAAGATGGGCTCCTGCAAGGAGCTCTGCGACCTGGGGTTCGAAGCTTCGGGGTTTGGCTTTGAGGATGAATGGCACCAGCGCTTAGCCTGGGCATAGTAGGAAACCCTTGGGATCGTTTTGGCAAAGTAAACACAAAGATGAGAAATATAGGTTGTGCTTTTATTTTAATGTGCCGTATTTTAAAGCCACACTCCACCATGGATTGAATTCAATTATTTGGGTAGACCCGCTCCGACTGTATCTAGTCATTACCTCTGATACAATGCTTCTGGTAAAGTCTTCTTCTAACTTGAAATAAGCAGAATAAGAAACAATCGATGTTCTTGTATAAGTACTTCAAAGAAAAGATGTCAGATAAAAAAAAAAAAAGATGGATCTAGGGATCCTCTCTAGGGAGAGGTTTATAAGAGATGAGTGCCAAATGAGTGACATGTTTTCTATAAAATCTTGTTTCTCATGAATATTTTTTCATTTGTTCATTCCATTTAGTCTGACCTCCTAGTAAAAAATGTAAATTCCGTGACACAATTTCCATCATTTACCTACAGTTTTGCTGAATACTCATTGTAACAAATCTGACTTTCCGAAGTAAAATACTACTTCAAAATAATGTAAAGGAAAGGACAAATTCTTTGTCTGAAAAATGAAAATAAAACCAGTTCTTAATATTGAAATGGAAAAAAATTTGTTTTGGACTAAGCGAAACGTTTTGCTTGATATAAACTTAAAAACTGATTTGTTGAACTGTCTCAGGGGTGAATGTGTTTCAGCTTGAGCTAAACCAGTTTTTTCATTTCCCCTTCTGCCTCCAAGCTGAAACATTTATTAGTCACCCCCTCTGTTTGCCTGTACAAATGACGGTAGATATGCAAGAAGCAGTGACATAGTGTAATGTTAATTGAACAAATATTATTTAAAAAGAAAAGAGATTAAAGCAGCTGACATTGGCTGCCTCTTCCCAACAGTTGGCAGCCTGTGCAAGCAGAAAGACCCCGAATGTGACAAGGAAACTTCTGAATGCACCGATTTCGATGGGGTTGCGCTCTGCCAGTGCAAAAGTGGATACTTCAAATACAACAAGATGGACCACTCCTGCAGAGGTATTGCTCTTTATGTGGCATATTTTTCCTGAATTTTGCTTAAGGTTTTTGTTCCAGTGGAAATGAGCATGTATGTCTGTCGCTGTGCATGCAAGAAGCTCAATATTATGAATAAATATTAGCAGCTCAAGTTTCTTTTGTTTAGTTAGGGAACTTTTCAGCAGACGCTGAAGATCAGCCTCTCTCTAGGAATAATATTGTCTCTTTCTGGAGCACGCTGTGAGTCACAGTGATTGAGAAGAGGGAGAAAGGGGCCCAACTGCTTTGGGCTCCAGTTCAGTGGCACAGAGCAGAGCTGACATGCGGCTCTGCCTGTTTTGATTTTGTCTGAACTCTCAGTGAACTTAGCAAAAGTGCTTTAAACTCACAAGCTTATATTAATACATCATCAATATTTTTAAAATAAGTATCTGAAAATGATTATGAATGTATTTTTCATCTGGGTTCCTAGTAGAATTTTTAAGCTTAAGGGTTATATTATTTTTTAGCTGCTGCTCAGATCATGAAATCTGTTTTTGCTACATTTTAAACAAGGTCTTTGTCCACATGCCAGTGGTCAGAATGATTTCTGTAGGATCAGGGTGTCCATTCCCTAGTTCCAGTGGTTGTTGCAGGGCTTCTTAAGAAATACGATTTTCTGATGACATATCAATAAGGATTGCAGTAGTCGTCATGTATTGCTTCTGGCAGTGTCTGCTGGGTTGCTGTTGAAATAGGAGGAGATGCTTTGTCGATTCCAAATCTGATCAGAGAGTGAGAAAAATGTGCCTGGAAATAACTCATGTGCTGCAGGCTCTTGGATGGGCATCTCTGGGTCTTGTGTCATGGTCCTGCCTCTCCTCTGCTCTGTGGCTCCAGGCAAAATCTTTCTCCTTGTTTTCCTTCCCTCCCTTCATCTTGCATATTGGGGGAAGGATTTCTGTTAGGAAATTTCTTGTCCATGTCCCTTGCCAAGCAGTGTTGTGAAGGTAAGTACCTGAAAGGCCGTGAGGGGCTTGGATGCAATGGCTGCAGAGGGCTGAGAGATCCAATGTCTTGCCTATGTGGTTACTCCCTAATTATGGGTCTGGTTTGCTGTGCAAAATATAAAAAACCTACATGCACACAGTGAGGCCTCAGTTCCACCCTCAGCTCTCTGCTCTCCATAGGAAACTTCTTATTGACCAGCTTGAGAGCCTCCAAGGGACAGAGTTGATGTGGGATTTAGGCTGCAGTGCAACGGTGTGAGGGTAGCACCGACTGCATGGTGCCCTGCTCTGCAAAATACCAGGTTTTCAGCATCGCTTTGCTCCCGTCTGGGTAAGCCAGGTGGATGGGATTTTTTTAAAGGCTTTTTCAAAAGCCAAGCTGTGGCCCTCATTTGATATTTAGGGCTATTTTCTGATAAATATAGCATACAATGTGCCAGGCTCTTTGAAAATCTCTGCCCTTTTAGTGACTGAACAGGAACTGAGGTCTCCTGAGCATCCGACCCTCATTGTGGGTCATGAAAATGTGGCGTGGTAACTCCAGTTATAGTATTTGCAAAGAGGGAAATGGCTATTGTGCTGCCCTGTCCGGTCTCCCCTGTGGGAAGGCGGGTGCGGCTGGAATTGCTGCCGGGGCACGGGGGGTCAGTTGTCCCGAGCCCCCAGGATTGTTCTGTCCTGCCTTGCAGTGTCTGGTCCCTGGGGCATGCTCAAAAAAGCATCCCCTGGACCAAGGAAGGGTTTGGTCTCTGAGCCACAGCAGTTTGACATGTTGGCCATGGTATCACCCAGTGTGCAGCTTGGTCGTCTCTGGGTCATTGCTGGTTTTCAACCTTTTCAGTACCTTCAGGGCTGTTTTAGAAACAGGGTGACAAACCCATTGTGCTGCCTTTTCCAGGGCATGCTCTTTTTAATAGTACACAGCATTGCCAGAGCTAAGCAAGGAGCAGCAAAGCAGGTTTCGAAAGAGACCCTCGAGTCTCTTTTGGGAAGGCAAAGGCAAAGGAATCCCAAGTAGAAAAGCACAACTCGACAGCTTTGCTTTGGCCCCTGACACTGAAGCCTGTCGCCTGTTCCCTGCTCATGTCTGGAAGATTGCCGAGTGAGTGTGACAGCGCAAGCTCTCCTGGGAGCACGTTCAAAGGAGCAGGAAAGATGCCAGAGGAGAAAGCAAAGTGGCAGGAAAAGGCAGGGTGAGGAGAGGAAAAGACATAAACACTGAGCATTTAAGACAGACAGAGATCAGGATCAGGATCTTGCTTTTCCTCCTTACGTGCCCTACACACGTTACTTGGCCCAGGCTGAGGAGGTGAGATGAGGCTGGACTCCAGAATCTGCCTGCAGGCTGCTCCAGTCCTTCCCGACACACACGCAGTGGGCTGGGGGACACAGGGCTGCTGCACTCCTTAGAGAAGGCAGCTCCATGGAGCTGTTGAGGTGATTCCTTCTTCCCCTTCATTGCAGATCTCATTGTTGCCTGATTCTGTTGACTTGCTTTGCTAAAACATTTGTTCCGTAATGGTCTGCTTTGTTAACAAGAGAAAGGAGCAACCCATCCAGTCCCATTTTGCTAATGCCTGGGTGTTATCAATGAGTGAGTCAAGGATCCTTTGGGATTTACTACTCTTGCCCTGGTTGTTGGTTGACTGAGGCTCTTCACTCTTGTCCAGTTACCTCTGGTCTCTTTCTTGACTTAAAAAAAAAATCTTAAAGAGAGAAAAATAAATCTGGTGCAAAAAGCATCATGATGAGATGCAGCAGGGGGTCTACGTAAAGAGCCTCACCCTCCCCATCCCCAGCTCTGGGGGAATAAATGGAGTGGAGGAGTGGTAGGGCTATGTAGGGCAGAGAAAGGGGTGCAAGAGCAGATATCTTGGACATCAGCCTCCCGGTAATTGTTGGTGCCAGTTGCTACAGCAAGTCTGTGCCTAGAGCTGCAGTATTGATGACGTGAGTGCATCACCCCTCTGTGTCCACACACCCCACAGGGAAAATGGCATGCTTAGCGGTGTGACATGCTTAGTGAATGGTACAGAGGCAAACAGTGTTTCAGTATGACCACAAGCAAGGCCGGTCATCCAAGAGCACAGCACCAGACACACTGCAGGTTGCGTCTCCTGGAAAACAGAGACTTGGGCAGTGCTGTGAGGGTGGGCTGGCAGGTGAAGAAGAGGTCCCCAGCTCTGTCTTGTAAGGCTAATGTAGTCCCTGGGTGCATTTAGAGGGCACATGCAGGCAGAAGAGGGGAAGTGTTGTTATCCCTGGGCTTGTGACTTCTATTTCTGGGAACCAGAAATCAAAAGGGCCAAAGAGGACCTGTGAGCATGCAGAGAAAAGCTGCAATAACCAGGGAGACTCAAAGATCTCGGTGCACTTGGTTTTGTTAAAGGCAAAGGAGTGATTTGATGGTGAGGAAGAGAAATGTGATCATATAACCTTTCCCAGCCTAGCAAGAAAACATCCAAAGGCTGGAATTTGACACTGGGATAATTCAGACCAGAAAGAAGGTGAATGTTTTTAATGGCTGGGGAAGTTAACTTTATGAGCTTCTGACCCAGGGTTGTGGTTGATTGTCCGTCATTGAAAATATTAAAATCAATCTTGGATGGTTCTCTAAAATGTAGCTCCAGTTCAACTATTTGATTTGAAAGTGGAATTAAATTTAGAGAAGTTCTGTGACCTGTATTATGAGGGGGAGGTCACAGTCACATTGCTCCCTGCTGGCATCAACATCACTTGTTATTGGTGCTGGAAGAGCCATAAACTCCTGAACACGCCAGCAAACTAGCGCTCTCTCTTGGTTTACTATGATATTGCCAGCCCATCCTAATGGGCAACATTGCACTGTGTCCTTTTCTTCCTCCCACCTCCCTTCCTGTGCTAAGTGTTTCTCAAAATCCAGTTACTGGTTGTGCCAGAGGGGAAAAGGCATCTTCTGTGCTGGGAGCAGAAGCGGAGGAGGACTGGAGGCGAGGGCTTTGCTTGTGGCTTTGCTGGGAGCTCTGCTGGAAGCCCCTTCCTCTTCCTGCAGATTTCCTCGCACTTGCTGGGGTTAGAGAGTGCCCGAGCTTTTGGCTGCAGGTTATCCCTATGGCTAGAGAACAAGGCAGAAGGAAGAGGGCTTGAGAGCTGCTGCCTCACCATTTTTAAGCATTGTGGTGTTTGAGGGGAAAAAAATCCATGAGCATTTTTGTTTTCACTTAACAATCTAGTTTTCTTGCGAGTGTGCTGCGGGGGTTTCCAGACCCCTGGCTGATGACTTGCAGACCCCTGAGGGTTGTTGCACGTGCTGGCCCTGGCTTGTCCCTCTGCCTGATGTGACTCTGTCCGTGTCACTCCTACTCAGGTCTTTGACCAACCACCTTCGTTGCCTCTGTGAAAGGCAGCAGCAGATCTGCAGGAGCTCTGGGGGTGCTATTGCTGAGAAAAGCGGTGATCTTATCAGTAATTTGAAGCTTATAATTGTATGTCCAAAGTATCATCACCTTTGCTGTTTATCAGAAGGGTAGTGTAATTTCCTCAGATAATTCAGGTGATGATAGCTGTCCGTAAGCACAGAATTTATTTTGAAGTGATGATTTAAGGTTTTTACCAACATTTTGCACATAGCAGTTTTCTGGGTTATTTAGACGTATTAAAAATTTTATGTAGTAAAATATGATATCTCAAAATTTCATTTAGCTCCAAATTTGCAAGAAAAGAAGAAAATGTGACATGAGGCAAAACATATCACTTTGTTACCCTGTGTTTGCATAACATTTTGTTGCAGTACTAACATTTAAAAGTAATGAATAACATGCATCAATGCTAAAGTAGCGTTGTTCAAATGAGGCTTCAAAACAGAAAGTGGAGGCACTTGCAGGTTTTTTACACTGCTGTTTTGTGGGAAGCAGTATGAATGTGCAGTGAATTTCCATTTGGGCAAGAAGAGGTTCTGCTGGGGATTACGTTACCAGCTGCCCACCCTGTGCTGGGTTCCGAGCTAGCTCTGCCGGGAAGCCCTGAAATGGTCCTGTCAAAGCCAGCGGGAGGTGAATTTAAGTGCATGGTGTTTTGCCTAAACCAGAGGAGATATTGCATCACATGAGAGTGCATCGTGTTCCTGCTGTGCGAGCAGCGCAGACCGGCTTGTCGGTCCCCAGGGTTGTTTGGGGTGAGGCTGCGGTGGGAAGCGGCGGTGGGAAATGCCTCCCTGCACCACTGCGCGGTGCTCATGGCCCTTCTCTGTGTTTTTAGCCTGTGAAGATGGATATAAGCTGGAAAATGAGACCTGTGTGAGGTATGGTGACTGTTCTGCCCTTCTCCTACCCCACCGTCCTTCTTAATATTGTTTTGGTGACCTGCTGGAACAACCAAGCCACTGAAACTCTGTTGTTTTCTGTTACCAGCTGCCCGTTTGGCTTAGGTGGATTCAACTGTGGAAACCGTAAGTACTGAGTTTTGTTTCTTTTAATTTCCGTGGTGGCAGAAATGGGAAATTTGAAACAAGTAATTGCAAATGACTATGTCTAAAATGCAGTAGGTATACTCTACTCTTGTCAGTGTTTTTTGTTTCTTCATTTTTCTGCTGAAAAATTATTTTGTTAAACTTCTTTGACAAAGTTGACTTAATGTTATCTCCTAAGGAAAGGAGATCTTTCTCTGGATGCTGTGTATAGCACGTATAGTGGGCACTCTTGAAGCGAGATATTCAGGGGTGAATCCATGAAATATAATTTGAATTTTTCTGATCTATCAGTGAAGGGAACCTGTCCTCCAGGGAAACAAGAGCTTGTTCTTTCTTCATCAGCAGATCCCCATCTCCATCCATTTAACTTGAAAATTTAAGGCAATATTGCTTACAGAGGGAGGGAAGATGAGAAATAAACAGTTAATCTTCGCATGAGGACTGTGGATATGTTTACATTAGTATTTACAACAACATCACTGTTTCTAAGTGAGTGTCTGTCTTTCCTCTCTGTAGCATACCAGCTCATCACTGTGGTGATCGCAGCTGCGGGAGGGGGACTTCTGCTTATCATGGGCATAGCACTGATTGTCACCTGCTGCCGGTAGGTACCACCACCAGCACCAGTCATCCATGGCATCCTATCAGTGGGGTACACCATACTTAGTGCTCCACACCCCAAAGGACCAAAACATAGGTGAAAACATAGGATAGCTCAGCAAGCAGATTAATCAGACATACTGAAGTATTACACTGTGCTTTCATTTGGGGGCATATATATATATATATATATTTTTTTTTTTTTTCAGAAACTAGGCTAAAAAATTCAACTCAGTGTCTCTTAAGGATATGCCCAGGAGTCATGTCCTCTAAGGATGGGGAGGCAAAGGAGTCCTTCCCACTCAGAGCGCTAAGGCAGCCAAGGAGCAGTCTCCAGTACATAGACAGGAGAAGTTTAGGTAACAGAAAAGGTTGCTGGCCATTGCTCGAGTGGTGTTTGAGTGTATTTAAAGCTGTTTTCATTTTCCTTTGTGGACAAGTCCTGCACGTGCTCTCACTCTGTGTCTCTCCCTCTCAGACGCACACATGCATGTCCACACATTGTTCCCATACCAGCAGGTAGCTTGGGACTAGAGGCAAGATGTGCTGCTAAGGAAGCTCTGCTTCGTCTTTTATATATGATGAAAAGGGCTGCCTTGCAGTAACACCCTCTCCCCGCCATTCCAGCCCCCAAATCTAGGATTTCCAAGCTCTCTGATTAAAATCAGCAGCTGGATTTATCAGTAACATAGACGTGGCCGTGGTTTGATTGCCACAGTGGTGTGTGCTTGCTCCCACGTGTTGTGAGCCAGAGGAACACCAGCCAGCCCCAGCTGGGAGGTGTGATGGCCAGTATACCTCCTGGTCCCAGAGTGCAGATCTCTGCAGGGAGGGACTGATCTTCTCATGAGTCCTGGCCTTTGACTGGTTATGTGGCTTCCTAGAGGGTACTCTGCTTTAACCTGTAAGTGTTGCCAAAGTCTGCTCATGCAACATAATAGTCATGTAGGGGCATTTGGTCTCATTCAGACAGGCAGCTTGCAGGTCTTCCTTCTGAGGAATTAACATAGTGCCTCGAAGTGTTATAGTTAAGTACTTGGAGACTTGAATAGCATGGGGGCTCCCATACGTTCTTCTTTCTTCCTAGATATCCATGACTTTTTCATTGAGTCAGGTGAACACGTGCACCTTTAAGAGACAACGGATGTAAGTTGGAACAGGAGAGGTTCAAATTGGATGTAGGGAAGACCTCTTTCACCAAGAGGACAGTAAGGTGGTGGAACAGGTTTCTCAAAGAGGTTATGCCATCTCCGTCCTTGGAGATTTCAAATTCCAACAGATAATGCTCTTGAGTAGCATGGTCTGACCTTGTATCTGATTTTGCCTCAGAGTAGAAGATTGGTCTGTAGCTTTTCTGAGGTGATCTTTGTTCCCAGTCAAGATTCATAACATGAGGTAAATCAGAGATCAGCTCAGAAATGCACACAAGATAGCAGGATAAGATGTATGTTTTCATTTTCATTCATTCTTTTATAAACAGGAAGAATAAAAATGACATAAGTAAACTCATTTTCAAGAGTGGAGATTTCCAGATGTCACCATATGCTGAATATCCGAAGAACCCACGGGCACAGGAGTGGGGCAGAGAGACCATTGAGATGCAGGAGAATGGAAGCACCAAGAACCTGTTGCAGATGACAGATGTGTATTATTCGGTATCTATCCATAGCTTAGCTATTAACTCTTTGTGCCTGATACAGCAAAGGCACATTCCTTTATTTTTGGAAGCACAGATCACTTTCCTGAAAAATAAAAGAGCAAATAAATGGCTTCCATAGACAGCAAAGCATTGTTAGTCCTGTGGACTCCAGCTATCACACCTGGTGAATATCACAAAGAGATGTCATTTGGAAGAGTGCTAGGGAAATGTCTAGGAACATTTTGGTAGATGCCTGAAAAGCCATATCCCAGAGTAGAGACAGAGATTTAAAGGTTTTGGACAGGCTGCTAGGAATTCCTTTGGGCAGATTTTTCCCTTTCACTCTCAGTGATGATGCTGGAAGGTTGAGACCTCTGCCTGGGTAACTTCAGCCTAAGATGGGAAGATGCTGGACAACAAGGACTCCTCTTTTCTTCCCCTCCCCCTCCTCTCCAGGGTACAGGCCCACTCCTGCAGCAGGAAGGGTGCGTAAGGAGCATCCCTCCAGCTCTGGGGGGACAAGTGGTAGGGAGGAAGTGGTGGAGGAGTAGTGGTTTGTGTAGAGCAGAGAAAGGCACAAGCACAAGGCCCATTGTCATGGCTGGCACCATCTGCTAATGTCTGTATCCAGAGCTGTGATGTGTGTATCATATGTCACTAATCTACAGCAACATACTGGGTGTACTTAAAGTGTATGGGGATTACTCATGTGACTGAAGGTTGCAGGATTTCACTCAGATCACACACTCTGGACTCCTGCTTTCCTGAGCAGAGAGCTGTGAGCAGTATTTTTTTTCTGGCTCGTACTTTAAGTTTTCCAGTAAGCAAGTTTACTGGGTTGCACAGCATGAAGGGAAAAAATCCTCCTTCCTGCTTCCAGTAAGAATGAGAGATTTGGAAACAAAAATGCATTTCCTGAACATTTCTTAAGACTTTTATTATGCTGGCATCTAGAAGGGGGAGCTTTTTAGCAAGGAATGGGTGATGAGATCTTCGCATGGATCTGCTCTGTAACAGATCAAACCAGGTGGCTTGATGTTATTTACTGGGTGAAAGGATTGTACAGTCTTGGTCTTAGAGCTCTTCAGACAAGAGTACCCAGGAGAATTAAGTAAGAGGAGGGAAAAGAAAAGAAGGTCAGATCCCTTTGTGTTTGACATATAGTTCAAGTGCCTGTGTTGGGAGTATAGGTACCTATGGTTAACAGGGAGAGAAGTGCTCCTAGGTAATGCTCAAAGCAGGAGACTAACTTTGTTTTTCTAGAAGTGTTTCCTTTAAGGATGGCTCTGGGACAATATCCTTTTTGTGATAGTTGTTTCAATCCCTGAGGTCATCAGCACAATTCTCTTGGATTAAAAATTAACTGTGCACTTAGGCTGCACTTGGTGGAGTTGGGTAAACTTCAAGTCTGCTAGTTGGCAAAATTTCGAAATTAGATTGCATCAGAATAATCCCTTCAGGCAATGCGTAACTCTCACTGTAAAAATCATTCTAGGTTATAGAGATAATTAGTGATCATGTTGGTCCTTCTAGCTACTGAAATAACTGCTGGGAAAAGTGGGAAGGCTGTTCCTGAAGGAAGATTTGAGTGTGAGATTAAGACTTTTTTTTTTTTTTTTTTTTTTGCTAATACAGCCAACTGGACTGAGAAATCCTGAACTGGAAAGAAACGGACTTTATCCTCCCTACACTGGTTTGCCTGGATCTCGACATTCATGCATCTACCCTGGACAATACAATCCATCCTTCATTAGTGACGAAACCAGAAGAAGAGACTATTTTTAGCAGGGAGTGGAAGAATGACACAGTTTTGTGTCCCTTGATCCCCAGGTACAATCTGTCACCTGGGCAGTTCAGCACACATCAGTCTTACTCTCCCCATTTAAGAGGAAGGACCTTGAACTCCATGTCGAGTGTTGCTGCCCTGAGGAATGGTTACACTTGCTGAGCAGCAGAGAGAAGGAGGAGGAGGAGGGAATGGCTCAAGGTGCACATCACTAAAAGACCCAGATGGAAATTAACACATGTACTCCGGATTTGTTCTGTGCTGCTTCTTCACTCCTTACACTGCATGGCAAGCATGGATCAGTACAGGCAGATGAGCTGTGCCCGGCACTCTGCATTGAAAACCACTGGGGCGTGTTCTGTTTACAGATCTTGTTGACTGTGCTTGTCTTCTTAGCCAACCTTCACACAAAGATTCACTGTGTAACTCCTTTTGGTAGGGCAAGTTTGTCCACTCCCTTTTCCATTGCTGCATTGCTTTTGGCTTCGTACGCAACAGGGAAGCTGGCTGGTCCTCTGGCCCTCACCTTCTTACTGGTAGAAGTTCTCCAGATGACCAGGTCCTTGCTGAAGGCTGGTGCCTGGCAATTCATGGGTTGATTACCTCCAAGGAATATGGGAAAGTTAAGTCATACCACTGCAATCCTAACTGAAAAAAGACACAGCTGATCCTATGTGCCACTTGGAAAACCTCCTGTACATAGGGCAGAGTCCGAGTATGTGTTTTGTCAGCCAGTGTTGTTCAGAAGTGATGCCACTGCACATCATCATAGTGCTTCCATATAGGATCTTTTGGGGCTCTGTTTCTCTACAGGGATTTAAATTTAAATGTAGAAACAGCAATATCATGTTAAATAGCTGCTCACAGGGAAGAAAAACATGAGGTGGGAATTCAGCATGCTCCTTACAAGGAATCTGGCAAGGAGCAATAATGCTATAGCCCTTGCTGGGCAGGTGGAACTTGAATTCTGGACACTGCAGGTGTGACAAGGTTTTCAAGCCTCCCCAGTCCACCTTACCTTCAGTAGGAGCTGTGGAGACTTTCAGTACATTGGAAAATAAGACTCACTGTAGTCAGTTGCATTTAAGGGAGAGAAAAACATGATACTTTAAGTTTTAGCAGAACAAAGATTATTTATATTGAAGTATTTTGCTTTCTTCCATCCTAGTTTCGAGTGATTCAGACCAGGCAGGTTTCCTTGTCTAGGTGTGTTAATTCATATTAATCACCTCGGCAAAAGCTAAAGGATGTAAGTTATCACATTTCTCACCAAAGATCAGATTGAAAGCTCAAGGACTGTATTCTGACCTGAGCTGGGTGTTGAAAGCGATCTTACTAATGATGTATATTTGCCGCTTATCTTTACCACAGTGTTAACCTGAGTCATCCAAACCCTGTCCTCATAAAAGAGTCGAGATATGGACTCTTTAGTCCGAGGTGGCCGCCAACTCTGTAGTGCGTACATAAGCTAGTTTCACTGAAGGGCACATACCCTCTGATATTCCTTTCTCCCCTGCAGTGCTTGAAAGGACACAGTGCCTATAAGTAAGTTCCTAAGGTAGCTCAGCTCACTGAAGCACTAAGGACCATGAGATGCATCCCCCAAAGTGCCTAACCCCAAGTGAGAATGGCAGTTCGGGTGCGGATGTGTTGTGTAGTTGCTCACTGGAGGCAAACCTGGGGTGATGAGGAGCCCTCCGTCACGGAGCAGGTAGTAGTACTTGCATCCTATAGATGCTTTGAGTCCCCGGATCCTTTCCCAGCACTTTGAAGGCTGTTGTACTCCCTATCAAAAGGGAGCAATAGCTACCCAGAGGAAGGGCAGCTAGTGTTACACAGTCGTTAGCTGCACAGGCTAAGAGGTTTCTGGTCCCTGCTCACATTTAGTTTCCTTTCCTCAAAACTGCAAGGCAGGAAGGGCACCACAAAGGTGTTTGAGAACACATAGTTTGGTGCACCACCCATAGCACACAAACGCAGTGGCTTTTTATGCCTGACTGCTTTTCTGCTATGTAGAAACAGCAGCGTGGGCTTTCAGAAAAACAGATCTTTATGGATGCCTGGGGCAGTGTGCTTTGCACTTACATGATCTTACGGTGACAATGCAGGTAACTTCAGGGCTGTCTGATCCACAATCAAACTTGCAGGTGGTAGTACACAGCTTATGTCTACTGTAGGGAGGAAATAAATGGATGTTCATGGGAAGTACGGCTGTCTAAGGAGCTATATTTAAGGAAAACTTCAGTTAGAGTAACCAAAACAGGTAAAGCACAGGAACTAGCTGTTCCTGCCGTGCTGGTCAGTGTTTCCAGTCCATGAATGATGTTCTTCCTGTCATTAGCAGCCAATATCTTAATTACACAGGATCTATCGGATGATGTGAACTAAGGGCTTGACCCCACTGTGCTGCGGGATCCTTCAAAGAGGACACTGTCAGGGTCGTTTCCGGGTGGGTGAGTTGCTTCTGTTTTTGAGTGTGCCCAGGACAGAAAGGACTTTCCCATGGTGTGGAGGAGGGTTTTGTCTGTGTTACAAAAGAAAGGGGGAACCTGGGATTCATGCTAAATCTAAATCCAAAGCATATAGACGAGCACTGGGCTCTGTCCCTGTTTACTAAAACAGCTTAGCAAAAAGGAAGAGTGTCCGTGACCGTAGTATTTAACCATGTCCTAGCGTTTCATCAGACAGGGAAGAGTTTAGGCACATGCTTATAGGCAAATATGTTTAATTGCTTGGTTAGTTCAAAGACTGGGAAAGGTACCTGTGTGTGCCAAGTACAAAGGACAAAGTAGGAAGTATCAGCTCACAATTGTAGATCAATCTGATTATACAGAGAGTAACATGGATTATATGAACAAAACTCCTGGGCTGTATCTCACAGCAAATTGCAGATTGCAAGGGATTTGAGCAGAAATGAGGTAGGACTATTCCTAATGGAGATCACACAAAAGTTTGCAAGTAATTAATTTTAATTTCTTAATGATTTTCAAATTCTTCTTAATGCTGTATCTGGAGTGAAAGCATCTCAGAAAACCCGGTGGGATTTTCTGAGTGAGGGCTGCAAAACTTGACCTTTTCCAAAAGAGAGAACTTCTTTGCACTGAAGTTTTCTTTCTGCCAGAGCAGGTAAACGTTTAGAAATTTCTTATGAGAATTTATCCATTGCAGCCTGACCGTCCTTTTATCTTTGGTAAGAAAGGAGTCGTGGAGCCAATGCATAGTCCACAGGTGGAGGAAAGGGGTCTCTTCTGACCTGCAGCACCTTCTCTGGGTGTCCTAGGAGGTCCTGCACAGCAGGCAGGAGAGGATTTAGGCAGAAGTCAGCAGCAGGGTGAGTGCAGGTGCTTTCCTGCATGGTGCTCCAGGAAGTCTGTGGAACCGGCGGATGCAGCCCGGGGTGATTCAGCCCTTGGGTCTTCCCCAGCCCAGCCGCTGCCAGTGCTGTGATACTTCCGTCTTCACCCAAGCCCCACCGGTTCCCAGCACCCCTAGGGCAGAAGGTGTGGGTGCAGCGCAGCGTGTTTTGCTGCAATTCATGACAGTTATTTTACTGTGACTATTGACTACCATGTCCCAGCAGCAATAGGCTTGCCCAGCCGTAGCAGGGTGTGACCTGGTTCTGTGCAGCTTGCCTCTGTTAAAGCTCCCACCGGCATCCTCTCTGTCTGCTTGTCTCTGCCATAAACTAAGCACCCTCTGGCAGGGGAGTGGGGTTTGTTGCTCCTGACTGGTGTGAGAGGGGTCTTCACGTGCCCTCAAGCCCACTTTGAAATGCGGATGCCTCTCTGTTCAGTACCTAACTCCCCATAGGATGTCTAAATAAATGCAGCTTATTTCTCAGACTAGATTACTTTTAGCTACCCCAGATTGCAAATTTGGAGCCTACTGGATGTTTTTGCCAAGGGGAATTGCTCTCTACTGTCCAAGAGGATAAGATAGAAGTGGCATGTTTCTTGTAAGGAGGATGCAGGTGGTTCAGCCAGGTGTGGGGAAAGGAGGAAAGACTATACCAACACTGCACAGAAATCTGATCTTGCTCCTGCCTGCTGTGGAAAGCTTGGGGAGCAGTCAGCAAGGGCCCATGGGCAGTTTTGTGGCTGGATTTTTAATTAACTTTGGAAAAAATGCTAATTCTGTTGTTTGACAGGAAAAGGTGTAGGAGGCACACGGTTGCTGCTATGGTGCTCTGACAATTGCACTGACAAAAACCCCTCACCCCCAGAAATACTCCTGGCAGCCAGCCTAGGAGAGGCAGCCCCAGTGAACAGAGCAGCAAAATGCAGATTTGGGGGTTAATTCAAAAGGGAGCCTTCCTGTGTCCCTGCCATGCACAGCTGCTCACCCTGGCCAGCCCTCCCAGCCGCACTGGAAGATATCAGGGGTCTTTTGCATAAGTTGGGCTATATCAGGAAAAAACCAGGACAGGGGCATTTTGATGCACTTTGCCCTCCACATTTAAAGCATTAGGTAACAAAGCAGCAACGGATCTCACTGCTGTGATGTAATTTCCTGTAAGTGCCACTGTCATGGTCATGTACTGAGTCAACCTTTGTGACAAGCCTTCTGAAAGGTATTTGCCTCCAGACTGAGCAGTAGTAAAAGGCTTTAAAAAACAGCAATGAAGAGTAGTTAGAGAGAGGTGTTTGTCATTGTGAAATGGTTTGTGCCGATACGTGTAACCGGTTGTTTGCCGGGACTGGAGTGAGCAGCAGAGCGGGTTTGGACATTGCTGCAGACACCCCAAGTGCTTCCCCAGGACTTGTCTCTGATGCTGGTCAATGGCTATATCCATTCCAAATCCAGATGGACTTCTCATTCCCTCATAGTGATGTTTGATCTTTAGTTTTCTTCCTTAAATTAACAAGAACGGATGCATTTTACTTAAATGCTCTTCCTACGCTGACTAATGTTTTTTCCTCTTTACACACAAAGGACCTAATTCAGCATCCATTATAGTGACCAGGGTAACTCTCCCATGGACTGTCATGAAGTTTTTTTA